GAGAGAGAGAGAGAGAGAAATCATGGGGATGGGCCTTTAGAATCATGGGCCTCAACATTGACATGATGAATGCCAGGATGCGCGAGAGCATGGAGATGGACCTTTGGGATCATGGGCCTCAATGCTGACATGGTGAATTCCATGATGAGAGAGAGAGATCATGGGGATGGACCTTTAGGATTATGGGCCTCAATGTCCACATGACGAATCCCAGGAACAATCTTTTGGATCTCCTTCTCCAACCTGTCTACTTCACTGCCAAGAGCTGTAACCACCTCCTCACCTGCCACCCCAAGAATACGTGACGTTAAAATGACATCAGCTACAATTTGTTCTCAAGGACGAATACGCCAAACTCCCAATGCTAACAGTAATGTTTGATTCAACTCTTCATTAAAATGGTAGTGTGCATGCATGGATTTCATGTTTGTACTACATTTAGAAGAGATCCATATTAGTGTTATAAACTCCTTTCCAATTTTAACTGCTCAAAAGGAAAACGAAAGAGAAACCAGGATCTGCATTTCATACCATAGTTTGCCATGGTCTTTAGAATAGCCGCATCATCTTTACCCATTGTAGCCTCTCTAAACTGTGCTCATGCACAACAAAAGAATATCAAAGGGGCATTTCAACACCCTATTAGTTTTTACACACTAAAAATGAAATTACAATTTACTCATTTAAATTCAAACACAGACCAAATAATACAATCTCATTCACACTGTTATGACAAGATGACTGCATGAAAACTTAATCTTGAAGAAGTAAATGACAAGAATTTAATACAAGAAATTAATATTTCTTTGCACCACTATCTTGTCATATGATTGGAATGTAATTATATTGGAAGAAAGGAAAGAAGGGTCAAGAGAAATTATATGAACCTGTCTAGCCCATTCTTCACGACCTGTTCTCTCCAGATAATTTTGCACCACCACAACCCCATTGAAGTCTATGACGTAACAAATAATACACATTAGTTTTACCAATGCTAGGCTAATTTTGTTAAATGCGATAGCAATACTTAAAAATATGACTGTAATTGATCAAATCTTCCGCATGTGGAGAGTGTCCTGGTGTTGTTGCATTTAAAATGGTGGTTAAAAGATATATATGATGAACAAATAAATAGACAGATAAATAGAGAGAGAGAGCGCACCTATCTCTGCCTTGAATCTAAAGAATCCTGGTCCAATCACCTCACTTTTGCAATCATATATAGCATCTACAACCTGCAAAGCAAATACACATAATATTTGTAGTTATATTACTGCACATTACATAAGCAATTAGTGGTAACATAACCAAAAGTTATCTTCACCGGATCAGATGAGAGAAACCGAAGCACCCGTTCCATGTCGTGATCATCAATAGCTCTGCCAATCAAAGCATGGCGATTCCTTTGAATGAGGAAAATGGCAACCTGTAATATATTAGGCATAAAAACCAGTAACTAAAATAGTTGGATAACACGAAATGATATTTGAGAAGGAAAACAAAAAGTTCATTGCAACACTAGTCCTTCCCCATTAAGGATACCTAATTGTACACACATTTTACTCTTCTGTTGTTCAAAGTTCAGTTGAGAGATCAGAATATTTGTACACACATTTTACTCTTCTGTTGTTCAAAGTTCAGTTGCGTTCATCCACTTGAACTACTTGGAAGACCCTATTATGTACATTAAGAGACAGATGTTCAAACGCCACAATATAAGGACTAACTCCTTAAGTTCAGCAGTATGTTTGCTTTGTTCCTTTTTACAGTTAATCAGAATTTAAGTAGTATATGCTTGCAACAAAGGGGTAATTCAAACTTATCAGCCCATTGATGATGCAGGCTTCTTAACAATTTAGGTGGCATTTATATATGCTTCATCCCATTAATGACAAGAAGACCTGCAGTGGGAAACCAAAGTGGTACTGAACTTCTGATATCTGTGAAATGGTGAAAGAGACAAGATTCATGGAAGCACCAAGGGCATTAGAAGCAAAGAAAGATACTAGTCTGTAGTAATCATGAATCAAAAATTGGGATGCTTGCTCAAAAGGCATTTTGAACAAAGCCAGAAAATGCTGTATTTCTCAAAAAAATAAAATACAGAAAACAAGAAAGACGTATAGAAAATGAAGAATGCAGGGTTCTGGCTTGAGGCCCACTTCAGGAAGTTTATTTAGGCTAGTGGACAGGTCAATAACTAGCATATTCAATGTTAACACAAACATTGGAGATAGTATTCGCTGAGAACACATGAAATGGGAACACAATAAAAGCTCACAAAATTCATTAACAAAATTCAGGTGTTTACGGGTTAAAAATATATAAAAGACCTGGAAATACATGTATTCAGAAAAAGATACACAGCAGTCTATCATCTTATGCTGATCTAGCCTCATCAAATGATCAACATAAGCACCTTGTGTGCAAAAAGGAATAAAGTGTACCATTCCAAGTAAGTGGCCCACAACAATAGAACCAATCGGATCATAAATTGCATTTCCTGTCCGGTTCACAGCCACCAAGGATGCAGCGGCAATAAGTAGCCCAGTAACAGCAGCACCATCCTGGGAAAGATAAGATAATTAATTAATTTACAAGTCTTTTTACATAGAGAGACAACAAAATTCAACAGAAATGATCCGCGAGGGAAAAGGTGCATAGAAAAAACAATTACGAGATGCATTAGTAGACCAATCAGTACAAACTTCAGTATATTGTACTCATTCCCCAAAATAAAATGAAAATCATGCACTTGTGAGATGACTGGTTCTTTTAATGTGCAGATAATGAGGAACAGGGGATTTTTTTGCAATTGCAGTTGACAATAGAAAATTGAGCGCATTGCCCCAAAATATTTTTTTTGAATAATTACTCACCGTCTCAAGTGTTTAAAGGCTTGATTGCCATCTCAACTATTTTAGCTTTTCTTAACATGCTAAAGTAGTAGAGCTAATGTGGCAGTGCTTAGCTTTACAAGGTCCAAATTAGTTTCTTAAAGAAAAAGTGTAACTCCAAAATCAATGCTATAAAAAAAAAATGTATATATCAACCCATACAACTCATAAATAATGAATGAAGTTAAAAGAAAACAGTACATTAAGGAAAAAACAAAGTTAAAAATAATTTAGAATAAATTACACATCACCACCTGACCACCATCAAATAGCGCAGAAAACAAACCAATAAGCACAGATAATTACATGCCTCAAAATGTAGCACACTCCACACCATCACATCCCTCCTCCCCAAAGCAAACATATTCCATAGTTATCATCAATAGAAAAAGTAAGTGCATTCTATAGTTGTCACACACCCCCACCCCCAAAAAAGAAAAAATCCACAGATGTCAACTTCCCTTAAACAAAAATGTCCACAAATTGTCTTCCACCAGCCCACCTTTGGTTGCCACACTGCACCATCTCAATCCAAGCTCCATCCTTGGCAAACTAAAGTCTTCACATTCATCATCATTCAAGCCTTATCCCATCTTTTACACAAATCTTGTTCTGCCATTACACTCTATCGATTGCCATATCCTCAATTAAACCATAAATCACCATATATCTTCTCTCTTCTTCCATCCATGTCCTTTTAGGCCTTCCCCTTGCCCTATTAGAGCCTTCCACTTGAACCAAATCACCCTTCCTAGCTGGTATTGCTCTAGGTTTATGTTGCACATGGCCAGCCCACTTAAGTCTACTTTCCCTCATTTTATCACCTTTTAGAGCCATCCCTAAGCTCCCTAGGATATATTCATTTTGAGTAATATCCTTTCTTGTCTTGCCACTCATCCATCTCAATATCCTCATCTCAGCTACACGCATTCTATGGATATGTTGTTTCTTGGCCGCCCAACATTCCGTCCCATAAAACGTGGTTGGTCTTACAGTAGCCCTATAAAACTCTCCCTTCAGTTTCATTGATAATAAGGCGATCACATAAAACTTCAGAAGCACATCTCTACTTCGTTCACCCCGCTCTGCTTCTATGTATCACATCTTCCTCAATCTCTTTATTCTCATGAATTATCAACCTCAAATATCGAAAATAATCTCTTTTAGGTACTTCTTGGCCATCAATCTTAACTGCCGCTCCATTTCTACTCCTATTAGTACCAAACTTGCAGTGCATATATTTTGCCTTTGTCTGTCTACTTTTAAAATCTTTAGATTCCAAAGCATCCCTCCAAAGTTCTAATTTTGTGTTAACAGTATCTCTAGTCTCATTACTTAAAACTATGTCATCCACGGATGACATATGCCACATTACCTCATCCTATAGATGCCTAGTTAACTCATCCAAAATAAAGAGATATCGGCTCAACGCTAACCCCTGATGTAAGCCTACAGTCACCGAAAACTCGCTTGTCTCTCCACTAGTTGCCCACACACTAGTCAGTGCCCCCTCAAACATATCTCTCACCATGTCGATGTATCCTCTAGGGACTCCTTTCTTTTCCAATACCCATCAAATTAACTCTTTGCGAATCTTATTGCAGGTTTTCTCTAAATTAATAAAGACCATGTGGAAGTCTTTTCTCTTTCCCTAGAACTTCTCAATCAATTGCCTAAGTAGGAAAATATCTTCAATTGTTGATTTCCCTAGCACAAAACCGAACTGATTTTCTGATACACTTGTTTCATGTCTTAGTCGTTGCTTAATTATACTCTCCCTCAGCTTCATAGTATGACTTATAAGTTTGATCCCTCGACAGTTCTACAATTCTATATGCTCCATTGTTCTCGTAAATAGGTACTACAATACTCTTCCTTCATTCATGTAGCCTTTTCTTTGTTCTCACCATATTGTTAAATAGCTTTGTCAATCAGAATATGTCAATTTCTCCCATGCACTTCCAGACCTCTTTTAGGATACCATCTAGTCCTAAATCCTTAGCTACCTTCATCTTTCTCAAAGCTTTTTTCACTTGAGATATCATAATCCCGTGGATCTATCTATCCTTCAACCTCATATTTATCAAAGGCTCCTCCTAACATTGTGCTCCTATAGTGTTTGTCATTCAAAAAAAATTTGCAATAAATTCTCCACCTTTCGTTGACCTCTTCATCCTTCACCAAGACCTTTTGATAATGCATTTAACATGATCTATAGCTCCACACTTCCTCTCTCTCATTTTTGCTACTTGGAAGGCATCTTTTTCACCTTCAATTGTTGTATAGAGCCTTCCTTACTATTTTATTGGCGTTTGTCTTAGCATTTTTATACTATTCTAAGTGTTGAACATTTCTATTCAATTGCCAAGCCCTATAACATGGACGTTTTTTGCTAATAACCTTTTGAAGCTCATCACTCCACCACCAAGTTTCCTTAATTGAATGTTTTCTTCCTCTAGATTCTCTTAACTTCCTTTGCTACTTTCGTAATACTATCAGCTATCTCATTCCATAGAACATTAGCTTTGCCCTTAGAATTCTATTTTCCTTCTTTTATCAATTTATTCCTAAATAAGCATGGGTGGTAAACCTATTAACTTCACTCCTCTTCCATCTCTTCATGCAAACATCCATAACCACAAGCCTATGTTGCGTAGTCAAACTCTCTCCTGGGATAACCTTACAGTCTGGTCGATCTACCTTCTTAACTAGAAAGATGTCCATATGGCTTTTATACGATCCACTTTTATAAGTTATTAAACGTTAATCTCACTTTTTAAAGTAGGTGTTTGTTATTGTTAGGTCGTAAGCCGTAGCAAAATCAAAAATAGCATCACCCATCTCATTTCTTTCCCCAAATCCATATCCTCCATGTACCTCTTCATATCCTCTACTATCTTTTCCTACATGACCAAAACTAAAGTCTTCACATGGTTCCAAATAATGCATTATCTTAGCATATAAGATCTAAGTGCCAATTATTATCTAGGGGCAAATAAATATGAAATATAAATTATCAACATATCTTTAACACAACAAAATATTGTCTAGGTATCAATACAAAAGTAGGTATCAATACAAAAAATAAAACATACATTTTTCCAAGAGTACAACAATACAGCATGATAGTGAAAGGTTTATATACATGGCCTTAGCTCTGGAATCAATGTGGTTCTGCTCCAAGTTGAGTTGGAAGAAGTCTTCTACAACTCCCCCAATCTTTCAAAAAACAAAACAAATAAATAAATTGCAAGATTCAGCTGCCTTACAACACTTCAGTAGTGCCGAGGGAAGTCGACTCGAGCAGAGTGTTAAAACATTGAAGGTAATGCTCCTCAATACTCACTTTTACAAACTCAACGCACATGCAATTGCAAACATAAACCCAGTTTTTATTTTATTTTTGGTTGGGTGAAGAATGCAACCCAAGTCATGGACAAATTTAGCTTCAAGGGTTTCCTGTTTCTCACCAAATGCTTTTTGAAGAAGGTTTTTTTGAAAATGTTAACCTTGCATTAAGGAGAAGAGATTACAGAGTACCAAAAATAGCTGCCCAAGAAATGGGAGCGCTATACAGAGTACCTTCTGAATAATGTTCAGAACTAGATAAGCTACAAGTCTAGACTCTCGACAAATATATCAACTGAAAGGAGTTGTACTCCTGGTCCTGGACCATGATCATTGGATTTCCGCAATGCAGATGATCCTCAGAAAAGATCCATAATGGAGAAAATATATATATAAAAAAAAAGAAGTAAATATATTCCTAGTACATAAATATATTCCTAGTGCATAATTTCAAGGAAAAAATATGTAGTCACCTCTGTCATGACTGCCACTGATGTTGGATCATGACCGCGCCAGACATAGTCACGGATTTTCATACCTTCAGCAGCTGCACCTTTCTTGACAGCATTTATTGCTACCACAAGTGAAGCACCTAGATGCCCCAAAATAGAAAATGAGTTTTTTTCTTTCTACAGATTGGAAAGAGAAATGATTTACACACCAGGATATAGTATACCTTCTATAATGAATGAACCACCAATCACAAGAGCCGCATAAAAAATATGTTGAGGAGGCTGTTCAATTAGAAATTTAGAATACAAGTATAGACCAGTGGTTATTGGATTGAATAAAAGAAAAAAGATACCCACGACCTATGCAGTAAATCTGTCAAGGAATTATGTTCAAGGACAAAAGCCTAGTCAAATGTTACATGCTCAAAAGAAAATCATAAAGTTACCTGTGCATTCCACAAATTTTGAAATCCATGAACAATGGTTGCGCCAGAACCAAGGCAGAATATACCAACAGCAGAAATCAATGACCACACAAATCTTTCCTTTGAATATCCATAGCTGCAAAAAGATGCGATGGATAACGAGTACACATACCAGAACCAGAAAAGTTAAGTATCTAACGAAGGCAATGAACATAGAAAAAACAACATTTTTTATTATTAAGGAAATAGAAAATTGCAGTGTCTCTGAACATCAAATAATTACATTTGTTCTTTCAACATAGCACGATATCTACAGAATGATGATATATATTCAGTAAGGCACAAACATAAAAGGCATGTGGATCAGAAACTCACGGGTGCAGAGCATCTGGAGCACGCCGCGAGCTATTAAGGCCATAAGCAAGAAGGGCCTACAAGTATGAAAACGACCATATGACTCTTATATCCTCCAACAAAATTTAAAAAGAATTACAATCAACTTACGTTACACATGAAATTATGGCTTTATCAAAATATTCGACGAAAGAACCAGAATATAGAATAGGAAATCATAAGCTTCAGTTGGAAAGCATTTCCATACCTGATTTGCAAAATCTGCAAGAGAATGTATAACTTCAGCCAACATAACATGGCTTGATGTCTCCAACCATACCCCAAATTTTAAAGAAAACACAAGAAAGTTGCACCAGAGTGCAGTAGTAACTGCTTGTTGGCTGGAGATGTCATTCAGAATATGCTAGATAGTCAGTAAGACACAAAAGGGAAATCTAGAGAACCTGTAGAAATACCCAGAATGACAACCACTAATAAAGCATAAAATATTGTAGTAAGCATCCACAACTAGTGAAAAAAATAATAATTCATCAAACATAACATAGCACAACGAACTAAGAAAATATCCCAGCATTGCGACAATCTTGCTCCAAGAAACAACACTTTTTCATCATTCCTTATTCAATTAAGGAACAACACGTCTGCTGTTAATTATGCAAAGCAAAAGTTTGAGAGTGCTTTGTATAATGACCAAAGACTTACTACCATCTGCTTCGCTCATGATGCAAAGCCCACATGTGTGATTTGATGTGTGCATAGCTTCCGAATTGCGACATGTCAAACCAATGGCAGCCAAGTCATGTGAAGGACCTCAATAACATAGGCTTCTTGCTGTTGCAAAGCCCAAAGCGAGTGTCCATAGCTTTAATAACAAGGCCTTTATTCCAGGGTGTTGAAAAGGCAGGCAGGAGGTTAATAGAGCTAATCCTTACAGAGTATTAGAAGCATTTAAAGCTCGGTTCTTGCAGTCATTCATGCAGGAGATGGCACATTCTGATCCTTGTATTTGATGTGGCTCATCTTGAGCTCATGCATTCTTTGGACGTCAGTCAAAAAATAAAGGACCAGGAGTATTAAGGAAGGAGAGGAATCGACAAGTGGTTTACGCTTCCCTTTGCTTTGGAGAGGAGGAATGCGCAAGCGGTTCTCATCAAAGGAAAAGTTGAAAATCTTCGCCAGGCCCTGAACTGCTGTAGCTTCCTCCAGGACCCATACTTCCAGCAAGCGAATGATCCTTCTAGTACTTGCCTGAAGCACTTCCTGCACCAGGTCATCATTATGGCCTCATTCCTTGAGCCCGAATTCGAAACAGCTGAAACAAGTCACTGCTGACATCAATAGCTCACAAGAGATCCAATCATGCTACAAATATAGCATTCCATTCTATGACCAAGAACCACTTCCAGATGCACAATTCCACTGAATCCTCCTTAATGCTATTTGCAACAATTGAACTAGTGGGTGCTAATCTTTTCAACCAAACAACCCTATCTTTCACCATGAGGCAGCTTCACTTTCTGTACAAGCGAACTATTAGTTTTCACTGCATTTAAAGGGCTTTAGGTTAACTTGATTGAAGGGAGTTAGTCTCCCCTCGCTCCCTCCCTCCATCCATCCATTGCTATGGCAAAAATGTCTTGCATGCGGAAAAATGTCTGGCATGAGTGTGTGCCTGTAACTTCAGTCTATTACAGTTATCGAATCCAGTCACAAAATGCATTATGCAGAATCAATGCAGCCCTTTGCTGCATTGTATTGGCCATGCATAGACGGGTTTACATAATCCAGACACCTAGGGGGCGCATAGGTACTCGCATATGTGAGAACCTACGCGGCCACATCGTGATGCCCTGCTCGTGGGAGAAAATAGCCCACAACCAGGGCTACTTTTATCATTTCCCCTTGTGGAAGGGAAGAAAAAGTTTTGGGGTGAACCCTAAACCCTCAACCCCACCAAAAATAATAATAATAATAATAATGAAATCTTTTCACTTCTAAGAGGATTGAACTTTAAATATTTTAAGTTCAAAAATATTTTTCGGTTTCGATTCTGTGACCAAAACTTAAAAGGATTTCTCCAGCAAGTTTCCAAATTGATTTGAGTCTGATTTTGAGCGCCTAATATCAACTCTTGAGGAGACCAAAACAAGAACTTGAAATTAACTTGGGATTTCGTCATCCTTGCCAAGTGCTTAGTATTTGGCCATACATTACTTTTTAGACATGTCTTTGTGGTGTATGAAGTTTGGAGAAGCGTTTCATGGGGAATATTCACTACCTTTCTAGTTTTTTTTTTTTTTTTATTTTGAAAACTGTTAACAGTGTATTACTATGTCAGTAATCATTACAGAAGTGGGAGAGACAGAGAGCACCTACTAAGGGTAGCTCTCAGCAAAAAATACATCAGTCAGTCATGTTGCTTATAGGTCCCGCCCACATACAATGATTTTCAATGGTTTTTCAAAAAAAAATAAGATTAAGGCTGAGGAGTGCCCGCGTCGAGGGAGGCTATGTAGTGCAGCGATGGTCCTGAACAAAAAAGGAGTGGGACCTGGCCTGTTCTTCCACTTGGAATCTAGCTCCCTCCTTTGCCATGAGATCTGCGAGCTCGTTGAACGTCCTCCATGTATGCTTCCAGGAGACATTCATATCCCTGCAAATGTGAGTAATTTCATCAAAAATTGTAGTTAGTTGCCATGGGGGAGAGGTCACCCCACTTGCACATGAAAGAGTGTTTTGAGAGTCTCCTTCCACAATCAGGTGTGTACCCAAAGATGGATCGAACTTTTTGAGACCCAATAAGAGAGCCATAGCTTGTGCATACTGGGAATCATTGCTGCCAAGATACTCATAATAGGTAAGGAGGATGTTTCGCTGGTGGTCTCTAAAGACGCCCCCAACACCTGTGGGGCTTGGATTCCCTAGGGCGCAACCATCAAAATTCAGCTTGATGCTGCCTTTTGGTGGTGGTTGCCAATTGTTAGCTCTTGAAACTCTTGGTGACCTGTGGTTGAGGATGGTTTTCCATTGGCAAAGGAAAAAGTTCCTTGGTATTCCCGAGAAGACCTTGTGATTAGCGGTCCAAAAGGAGACCAGCGAAACTACCCTGTGGAACAAAGTTGGTAGGTGGATCTTAAGTTCATTAAAACTTATGTTATTCCTTTCTACCCATATTGTCCATATGTATTGGCCACAGTAGCCTTCCTTAAAGTTCTTCCAGCCAATGGCCAGTGTGACTCCAATTCGTTAGATAGCAGGGCGCCGACCATGGGGGGTGTGATCCAATGAATACCAAAGAGTTGCAACACTTGGCTCCATAGCTTGTGAGTAAAGTCGCAATGAATAAAGAGGTGTGGGTTGGATTCCTCTTCACAAAGGCCCATAACACATCTATTAGGGATCGAGATCCCTCGTTTTTGTATGGGGTCCACTGTGAGTGCTCTTTGGAACAAGCAATCCAATTGAAGGTTTGAATCTTAGGTGGGGCGATGGTTGAACAAACTTTTGCCAAAACTGAGGTGGGATTGAGAGGATAAGTGGGGGGTTGAGTGAGACTCTTATAAAAAGAGGCTACCGCGAAGAGACCTAAGGGGGAAAGAGTCCAAACTATTTTGTCTCTCCTATGTGTTGGAATAAAGAGTGAGAATAGAGCATTCGAGAGTAGTTGGAATTGATTGGATTCCTCTTCTGTGAGGTTTCTTCGAAATGATGGGTTCTAGACTCTTCGGCCTCCTAAAAGTAACATTTCCTCGGCAATGGAGGAGTTTTTGTTAGAGGCAAAAGAAAACAAGGTTGGGAAGGCATGACACAGCGGAGAGTTTCCTAACCATAAATCTAACCAAAAACTCACCCTATCTCCTTCTCTAGGGTGATATCTTATGGATCTTCTAAAATGTGAAAGAGAAGTGGCAAAGGATTTCCAAGATCAGGACGCTATGTGCCTCTGGATCCTTTCTAGCACCCAAGTTCCTTCCAGGATCCTGTATTTACACCGTAAAACTTGTGCCCAAAGAGAGTCTGGCTGAGCGGCAAGGCGCCAGCACCATTTGCCTAGAAGTGCCGTATTGTGTTTCTAAGGACCCGAATCCCTAAACCCCCCTGCTTTCTTGGTAGATAGATATTTTCCCATGCTACTAGGTGAAATTTGGTCTTTTCTGCCTGTCCTGACCACAGGAAATTATGCATAAGCTGTTCTATGCAATTAGCCACCTGAGCAAGCATCTGGTAAAGGGCCATGAAGTAGACCGGGGTATTTGCCAAGGTAGCTTTGATCAAGGTAACTCTCCCTAGCATAGAGAGATATCTACCTTTCCACCCCGCCAGACGTCTCTCTACCTTGTAAAGGATCTGAGATCAATGCCTCTTTTTTGGTTTCCCCAACCCCATAGGGAGACCCAGGTATGTAGTGGGTAGGTCCTCCACTTTGCACTCCCAGTTTGGGATGATTGTTCTTACTTCTGCATTTGTCATAGCAACTCCCATCATTTTGAATTTCTCCATGTTAACTTTGAACCCTGTTGCTCTCTGAAAGCATAAGAGGAAGAGTTTGAGAGTGATGACTTCATTACGTGAGGCGTCAAGGAATATCAGGGTGTCATCTGCGTATTGCAGGTGAGACACCGTTGGGCCCTGCGTACTACTTTTGAAGCCAGATTGAGAGAGGCAGGAAATGGATCGGCTGAATACTTCCGTTGCAATGTCAAAACGGAAAGGGGATAGGGGATCCCCTTGTCGGAGTCCCCTCGAGGCTGGGAAGAAGCCTTTCGGGGTTCCATTGATGATGATAGAAAAATGGGGGTGAGAGTAATAGCCTCTCATCCACCTCTTCCATCGCTCCCTGAACCCCATTCTAGCCATGGACTCTTCCAAAATAGACCAGTCTACGTGGTCATAAGCTTTCTCCCAATCTATTTTGAAGGTTAGGCCTAGTTTCTTGGCCAAGTGCCTCGAGTGGATACACTCATGAGCCACCAAGGCCCCATCTAGAATCTGCCTATCTTGGATAAAGGCAGATTGAGAAGAAGAAATCACTGAGGGGAGGACTTGTTGAAGTCCAAAGGCGAGGACCATAGCCAGTATTTTGTATGAAGAGTTCAGTAGGCTAATCGGGCGGAAATCCTTGATTTCGTCTGCCCCTTCAACTTTGGGAACAAGGGCTAGGAAAGTGGCATTGATTGCTTTGTAGATTATACCCTTGTGGAAGAACTCCTTTAAGAAACCGATAAAATCAACATGGATAGTATTCCAAAATTTTTTGAAAGGTGCAATCGAAAAGCCATCTGGTCCGGGAGCTTTGTCTTTGGCTAGGGCATTACTTGCTTGTTTCTTCAATGAAGGGTTGCTCTAGCCAAATTGCCCTAGCCAAATTGCCCGATCAACAGGGAGAACCAAGAAATCCAGATCAGCCATTCTTGGATGCGAGCCAGCAGGAGCAGTGTATAGAGTCTGGAAGAACTCTATAATGGCCTGCTCAATTTCATCAGGTTGGACCAATAAGCTATTATTAATTTTGAGCATCGAAATAATATTGTCTCTTCTGCGACAATTAGCTATTCGATGGAAGAAGGTTGTGTTTTGGTCACCCACTTTCAGCCACTTATCCTTGATCTTTGGAACCAATAAATCTCTTCTTTTTTTAGAGTGGAAAGGTATTCCAATTTTGACTGAGTTCTGAGATTTAATTCTGTGGTGTCCAGAGACTCGGATTCTTCAAGACGATCTAATCCTTGGATGGTATCCAAGGGGGTGGATTTGATTTGGGAGTAGTTACCGGGTATAGATTTACTCCAGGTTTTGAGAGAGGCTTTGAGGAGCTGAATTTTTGTTCGAAGTCTATAGCCTGCTCTACCCTTGACCTGGGATGAGAAGGAATTCCACCAGGTTGGTATAAGGGTACTGAGGGACTCCTTTTGGAGCCAAGCTAATTCAAACCTGAAAGGTTTAGGCCCTCTTCTTATTGTAGTGGTATCAAGAATAATAGGATAGTGGTCAGAAATGGGCTTGGGTAGGGCCGAGGCAAAGGAGCGCGGGAATTGTTCCTCCCAGTTCAGGGATAAAAGAAATCGATCTAGTTTGGAAGGGGAGGGTTCGGGGGCATGGTTGGACCACGTATATCGACTTCCTTGAAGAGGAATATGGAGGAGTTCATTCCGACTAATGAAGTATGCAAAGTCCCTCATGCCCTGAGAGATGGAGGTAGAGGCGTTCCGCTCATAGGACCATCTGGTAACATTGAAGTCTCCCCCCAGACACAAAAAAAGTTGGGGTAGAGCTGCAACGTGGTCCAATTCAGACCGGAATCTGTGTCTAAGAGCTGCAGAATTTTCAGGGGATAACATCAGGGATACTAGATAGAAGAGTTGTCACAGAAAATTCCCCTATGTGGGAGGAAATGAGAGAATGGTCCGAAGGATTCCAAACCACCCAGATGCCTCCTGGAGCCCCATTTGCCGGTACTGAGACCCACTGGGAAGGCTTTCTACCCCAAAATTGGTGAATGAGCTGAAGAGTGGGCTCAAGTTGTTTGAGAGTACAAGGGCTAGGACAACGGGAGAGTGTTTGAGAGTTAAATCCTTGTCGCAGTCCCCTAACATTCCACGTAACAATCTTCATGGGTTAGGGGAGGGAGAGGTGGAGGGGGCCATCCTGGCTGACCTCCTAGGACGAGAGATGAGGGAAGCAGATGGGGAGCCTACTATCGGCTGTCCCTAAAAGGAGACGGAGGAGAATAAGCTAAGTAATTCTGTTTGTCCTTTGAACCTCACCTTCATCCTACTTTGAGCGTCTGCAGTAAGAAACTTGTGAGCCGGTCCTTCGAGGCCGTCATGATGGAACCCCATGATTTTGTACATCTCCTTCATTTTTTCATTGATTCAACTTTCTAGTTTTTGTTTGTAGTACCATATTAGAATTGCTTGCTTAGTTGCTTAGTACTTTTTTATTTTTTATTCAACTTGTTGTATAGATTAGGTCATGTCGTCTTAAATGCTAATTATATATATGTGCATGTGCCCGTGTGGAGTAGTAACCACTAAAGAGTAGAGTTGCAAAGGGGTCCGGATTGGGCTGTCCCCATCCCAGTAGGGTATGGGCCTGAACCACACCTGGATCCAAACCTGACCCGCTAGGTCTAAAGCCCAAACACTTATAATAATAAATAAATATAAGATATATGTGTGTGTGTACATAATGACCTGACCATCGTTCGACCCGACCCATTTTGCAGCCCTACTAAGGGGACATATCTATGTTACTTTATCAGTGGTTGAGATAGCACATATATTAGAGACATACTAAATTAAAATCCCTACGATTATATAAATCCCAAATTTGTCGTATTCTTTATATTTTTCATAAAATGTTTGAGTACATTTATAAAAAAGTTTAATACTTTTATAATTATTTTTCTGCATAGCAACTGATGCGCTCAATGGTCAACAAACCACATAGCACATCTAGCCCCTAGTGCCTCCAGATCCCACCCAGCATTCAACAATCTGTCCAAGTATGTTAATCCATGTTCATAGTAGTAAAGGAATTATGGTATCCTATCCAAGTTAGGATTTGCTTTTGCTCATTGCTCTTAACAGTTGTTTAAACTTGGCAAGCCCAACTTCAACTCGCCCAAGTCAGTCAAAACCAGCACCATGCCAGATGATCTAGATTCGGATGATTCGAATCTTCACTGAGTTTGTCCCGACTCTATCTGAGTCTTTAAAAGATCCAGCAAATATTAAACAAATATATGGTTTTTTAAGACGGCACTCTCCAAGCTGACTTGGGACTCGCCCAGGTCACTCAGACCATTTTGTGAAATAATTCAAATCCATTTTGTGAAATAATTTGAGGACCACCTATGGCTTTATTTGAGATGCCAAGTTCTTCATCAACCGGCCTGAATGCCTCACAGGGTTATCCTGGGGCAAAGTGAAACACCTCTACCAAGGAGATATAAGAATCAATATCATGAGACCAAGACAAAATGAAAGTAATTCCCAATTTAGGCCTTTCCTTTTTTATCGCAAACCGTAGAAATAAACCAGCAGGGTAGGTGCAAAACTAAGAGTTTTAAATCATTAGGCAAAGAACAGCAAAGTAGTCTTTATTTATATACTAATAAAGACGATTATGGTGTTGAACTTGAGCTGCTCAACAGCCCCATGAATTCACGACAACAGCCAGGAAATATTTTTACAAATAAAATAAACAGTGATATAGGATGGTGGAACAGAATGTGGTATCCATCTGTAAAGCTTTCATATCTTAGCATAATTTAATGGTGCTAACATCCATCCGATACAACTTGCAGTTTGTTTGTTAAACTTTTTTAAATATACTATGATTAGAAGATATTCTTGTCACCTACTCAATTCAATCTTTGCATTGGAATACATGGGATCAATCGATACGTAAATCGCCACAGGGATGTGGATCCTAGGAAAATACCGTATTCATTACAACTATCCCTTACATAATTTAAACGAGTAAATACTTCTTAAGTTCTCCGGTATAACACACATATTTAGCATTGACCTCTAACTCATAATAACACTCCACAAATAAAATCAGGGTATCCAAATTGTACAGTGCCATGAACCTCCTGTTCCTCATGAGAACATCACAGATTGTCACATGGAAGGATCATTGACCTCTAAACAACAGGATTCTGAAAGTAATAAGTGACTGATTGATGTATAACATGCAGTAGTTAAGAAACTTGGGAGATGATAACGGAAGTACCTTGGATCGTGAGAGTCCGCTTTTCTCAAATGCTTGAGCCATGAGGAATAAACTGCATTTAAAGCATAACATTACGTTCAGACTTTTCCACCAGCTACAAATGACAACCAAATGAAACTGAATTTTTGATGAAGAGTGATAATCTATATATAATACAGAACATGAATGCCAAGAAAAACTAGGCCAAACACACATCATGGCATAGAATCGAATGCCAGTAAAAACTAGGCCTAACACATATCATAGCATAATGTTCCATAGCCCCTAATCCTAACTACATCCATTCCATTATAATACTATCAGCCACCTCATGTCCTTCCATGGGTACATAAATTACAATGTAGATACTTGTCAAAATGTCATTTATTCCTACAAAAATTAATTCCATAATGCAATTAATGCAATCAACCCTAATAATCCCAGGCTTGCAATTTACATAGTCAGTGCACCATTTCTAGGCTTGCACAAACTTCCGATGAAGTGGTGGGTTCAATTCTAAGAGACCAATGTAGCTTCCCATGTTAAATTTGAGTCAAATCATCATATTGATGCGAATTGTGCTTTCATTGAAATTGAGACTAGTTTATTATATCCTACACCCACCACTTTGCTTACACACATAGAAAAATACTGAAAACAAAATCAAATAATCCCAGGCTCACAAATTACTTATTCAGTGCACCATTCCCAGAGCTGCACAAGCTTCCAATTGAGTAATGGCTCCAACGTACATAAAGTTGGAGCCAAGTGATGTAAATTTCGCTTGAGACAGTAAGGCTAATTTATTATAGAGAAAGTATAGAATGAGACCATTTACCTTTAATACAAGGTGGTCACATTACTTCTGACCCTTGGATGTGAAATTGGGTGGCTGCAATTAGTTTATTGACCAAGCTCAAACTTCAAAATAAATTTTCTCGGACTTTGTGACACATCCAAGCTATCAAATTTCACATCAAATGGTTGTAAGGAATCATGACCACCTTGTATCAAAGGTAAACAGTATCAATGTATACAATCCCTTTATTATATATTTATATCACAGATTTCCTTCACCATCAGCATCATCATCATCATCACCATCCTCAGGGCCTCTTCCCAACTATTTGGGATCGGCTACACGAACTTGGTCCGCCCTTCTGTTCTATCAAGGGCCATGCCCTCAGAGCCTTTTCCCCACTATATGTGATATGTTTCCTTCAATAAGAATTTTATTCTATCATATACCCACAATTTGCTTGCGAAATTAAGAAAATTTTGAAATAAAAATATGGAGAATTATATGAGATGATTGTTATTAGAAAGCAATAGTAAATATTAGATCTGCCCCTTATGTTTTCTTATATCTCTAAGCCTCCCCATCTCTCTCTACCTATCCCCTTCTTTCTTACTTCTCCCTCCCGTCTTCCTCTCTTCTATTCTCCTTCTCACACTCATCTCCAACCTTTTCCTAGACAGCCACTGCACCCTCTTTACCTTTTGCCCCTATCCCTATTCTCACCTCCCTCCCTTCCCTCTATTCCTCTCCTCAATCCCCATATCACTTCTACCTACCCGTCTCTCCCCTCTTCTTCCTCTTTCTCTTCTCTCTCCCCCCCTCCCCCCTCTTATTCTAGGTATACCTCGGTCTAGCAAGCTACTGCATCCATGGATAGCAGAGTTTCTCTATTCTCGCATTCTCTCGTCTTTCCTCCCCCTCCTCTTCTCTCTTCTCCCCTCCCGTTGGTACCACGATCTGCTGCTCTCAAGACAGAAGCATCCCCACAGCTCGCCCAGCAGCATCCCCTCAGCTCGCCCAACAGCAACCCCTCAGCACGCCCACCAACAGAATCTCCATCTCCATCTCAGTCACAGCTCGCCCAGCAGCAACCCCTCAGCACGCCCACCAACAGAATCTCCATCTCCCTCTCAATCACTCATTCCAAAGAGTAGTGTATTTTTTCCTATTTCTTTTAGGTTTTCTTTTTAGATTACCTATTTTGGGTCTTCTATTTTTGCAAAATTCTCCTCTTCGCTGGTGTGCATCTCCCACTCCCTTCTCTCTCTTCTTTGCTCTATCTTCCCCACAACAGTCATTGGTGTAGTCTGAGCACTCAAGTTGTGAGATGCCATCCGTAGCTTACTCATATTGTAATTTTTACCATATATACAAAAGTTAACACATTTTAAAAAAAATAAGTAAATGTTGATCACAGTGCATGTATAACAATAACCTCTGGATAAATCATGATAAATAAAATCTCTAAATTAACAACAAGGAGAGCAATTTAACAAGTTTCAACAAAAAAAATCCTGATAAAATATAATACCAACATGCATAAATGCATAAAAATAAATAAATACACAACGATATGTCTATACAAAAGCAAATGAATAAACAACCATCAAAATGAAAATATAGAGACAAATAAACATGTAAACGTGGACTTACATCGGAAGGAATGATGAGAACAAGAATCAAATGGTCCAGCAACCACTGGAGATGTTCTTTTAGATCCGACATTTAAGAAAGCAAACCCAAAAGATCGACATGGATGAATAGAAAACTTATAATGGTAAACAAAATCCTTTGAATGAGATATATGAACAAATGCATCACGGCTTTGAAGGCGCGACCTTCTTTTAGAAGGTAACCCTTGAATTCCCCTGTCTACGGAGGCCAATGAATCAAAGGGAGAACCGTATAGACTAGAACCAGAGGAAGAAATCGGAGCTCGAACTGCATCGTATAAATGCCGAACCAGTCGAGCTGTTTTCAATAACTGATAACCCCGCCTACCCCTCTGCATACTCAGGTTTTCTCCAAAAACCACTCCATTAAATTTACGCTGAATTTCTAGAGAGAGTAATGGAAAGGAATGTAGGAGTACAACCTCTCTCCTGCAACCCCTCGAAATGCTAGGGAGAGCCGGTGATCAGAGCTTCGTCTCTGTGAAATTAGGGTTTTTTGAGAGATGGAGAGCGCGGGGCTTTCCAGAGATAGAAAGATGGAGACGTTCATTTTTTTTTAGAGAAAGAAAGTGGAAGTCGTACAGGGAGATCGGAATCTCCACGGTTGGTTGAAGAGCATATCCCCGGCCGCTAGTGCGCGGCAAAATATGATTATAATTTTTTAACCCTCCATAAAGCTGATCTAGGGCAAATTTGCAAGCCAGAAGATTCTGTGATCCCGCGGGAGTAGTTGTGCTTCCAATTACAAACTACTACAAAATTTGCGACAACAATGATCTCGGCTAGTGCATTTGACTTGTGTGCTCCTTGGACCTACTCAATGTTTTATTTTTTAAGACATTTCGTATTTGTACTCCCGGATACTTTTTTTTTTATATATTATACATAACATAAAAGTTGAGGTCCTATACAATCAAATTAAGGCGCACATCAAAATTTCATTAGAACAGGTTGTTTTGATTCTAAAAAAATGTGAAATTTCGATATCTTAACCTCAAGAACTATGAATATGAGAAAAAATAAATTTAAAGCCTTGAAAATAGTACATATTGTAATGTATTATCTAGAATATCAATTTTAAAAATTTTCAATTGTGCACAGATCTACTGGATCTATATTATTTTAAAACTTTAAATTTTATAATTAGAGATGAAAAAAAAAAATTAAACCACTATAAAGATTTATGATGCTGAAACAACACCTTTCGACACAAATTGAAGGTGTGCCCTACTTGATTGTTTAGGGCCTCAGCTTTATACAAACTACACCCTATACAAAATTAATTACCGGTAAAGGTAAACTTTTTAAGATACAAATGTGTTTATTAAACTATGAGCTATTCTGAATGTATTTTGCTTACTCCCTCCGCTATTTAAGAGCTTACTTTTCTTTAGAATTTTGATATAGAAACACCAAATTATTATTTTCAACATGTGTGAGAAGATATAGGAGATGCCCACATATATTTGTTATACAAATTTGTCTACCCCATATTTTTACGATAATGTGTATTTTTTAGAGCAATTTTTAGGACATGGATCGTCTTGATTTTAGTGAACTGAATTTGAATCTGCATCACCCTATTAAGCTCATATAGTGCAACTGTATCGAGTAATATGACAACACGTTCTTCCAACATATTATGATCAAAATAACATGTCTTATTGTGAAATATTAAGCATCCTTGTCCATACACAATAAATTTAAGCAAATATTATCATGGTAATCAATACATACGTAACAAAAGGGACATCAGTTAAATAGTAAATGTTGTCCATACACAATAAATTTAAGCAAATATTCTCATGGTAATCAATACATATGTAACAAAAGGGACATCAGTTAAATAGTAAATGTGGATTGAGTCCCTCAGCATCAAGCAGAAACATCAATATCATACACAAACATAATGTTTTTTGTATATGCGACATAATATATCGCGCAGACTGGTTTAACGGATCCATAACGACAGTCCAATATGCACCCAAAAATTAAAGGAAAATTATACAATGAGACCATTTATGTTTGGTATAAAGTGACTACAATTAATCTTGACAATTGGGCGTGAAATTGAATGAATGCATTTATTCTATTGAGCAAGCTCAAACTTCAAAATAAAATTTATCAAAGCTTGTAGCACACTCAAGCTATCAGATTGGTTATAAGAAATCGTGACGTCGTTGTATCAAAAGTAAATAGTTTCATCGTATACAATCCTAAAAATAAAAAATATCTATATAACTCATACGAGCAATGATCTAATGCAATGGTTGTATCGTAGTATAATGCAACGACACTTCTAAAAAACCATGTTTGTAGTATTTATATGACCCTAAATTTTATACACACACTCTCTTCATCTCAATAATCAATCCCTCAAAAAAAAATAGTTCAATTTAAACCCTAGATGTGGTCAAAATGAGTCATCTCAAAAAATGAATCTAGACCATTCATTTTGTGAATTTCAAGATCTTAGCGTTTATAAACTCAAAATCATTTTTTTATTTTTTAACATTGTTCATCTAATGATAATAAAACCATCCAATAAAATTAGAAGTGAAAAAATCCTTCTAAAGCCCATGTAACAATCCTAAACTTTTGCAAAAATAAAAAAATAAAAAAATAAAAAAAAATAAACTTTTAATACGTGATGATTCGTTTGAACATGATGGTCCTTAGGGACCATCTCTACTTTTCAAAACTTTTCGTTTAAAAGCTTTGTTGCTTCTTTACGCTTGCCACGTTCACTAAAGGACGTGGGCTTTAGTCGTTTAAAGTGTAAGCAAACGCTCACACCTGTAACGTAATAAAAGAATAAAATAATATATTAGTAGAATTTAAATTCAGAGAGATGAGGACTCCTACCTTAGAAAACTTATGAGATTTTTCTCTCTGGTCAAAATACAGTGAACTCCTCTCTCTAGCCGAATTTTTATCGGGATATTCTTCTCAAGTATTTGTGGGTAAGTGACATCGTCTTCCTGAAAAATAGTCTATTTCTAATAAATAATGATATTTTCGTCTAGGATCTTTATTTTATCAGTTTTATGTGTAAGTGACTTCATTGTCTCGAAAAATAATTCATTCTTTTTAAAAATAAAATGAAATAATTATTTCTGCTTATTATCATGAATTTTAGGCGCGATAAATTTTATGCGCACGTGACCTCATTATCTTGAAAAATAATCTTTTTGATAAAAATTGTGATATTTTATCTATGTTATAAATTTTGAATGCTGTAAATTAGAAAAATAAATTTATTTATTTTTCTTGTTTATTGTTAGAAATAAATGTGATATTTCTGCTTTTAGTAAAATTGTGATATTTCTTTCTACTGTTTTGAATATTTAGACATTGTAAAATTCATGTGCAAATGACTGCCTTATTATTTTAAAAAATTGACATTTTTGCAATTGATTATAGTATTGTTGTGAAATGTTTATTTGTGGATTGATATCCCATAAATTGTGATAATTCCGTATTCTTGAATTTTTATAAGAGTTTTTCTATACATATTAAATTGGCAATTATGCTAGAATT